TACCGAATGTCCCTTCCCCTCCCTCCGCCTTCCCCACCTCCCCTCCTCCCTGCCTCTGGCCCCCCCCTCATCCAAAGAGAATGAGGAAGAGGATGAAGATGGGTGGAAGAAGAAGAGAGGAAGGCGGAGGGGCGGGGAAAGGAGGAAGAGGACAAGGAAACCACGGAGCATGACTGAAACGACGACGACGACGACGACGACGACGGCGTTGACGAAGACGACGACGGCGTTGACGACGACGACGACGACGACAACCGACGATGACGACCCCCAGAACTTCAAGGAGCCTCCAAGAACATCGCAAAACCTTGTGAACACGACGGAGATGACAACGAAGGAGACGACGACGACGAAAACGACGACGACGACAACGACAACGACGACGACGACGACGACGACGACGACGACGACGATGACGATGACGACGGCGGCGGCGGGGGGGGCTGCGACAGCGAACGGCCAGCGGAGCTCTCCTCGAGCCGTCTTCTGTGCACACCGTAGTCTCCAGCACAAACTCTGCAAGGTCCCCGGCACACTCGCCTGGCGCGCGGTTGGGGGCGCAGCAGGCGTTCGGCTCGGCGATTCTCGGAGGCTCTCGGAGGTTATCAGAGGCTCTCGGAGCCGTTCGGATGTTCGCGAAGCTTCCTGCAGAATTCAAAAGCCCTCGGAAGATGGTTCGGAAATGATCGGATGGCTTCGGATGGTGTCGGAAGTGTTGGGAGGCGTCCAGACACTATCTAGCAGTGTCTGAGGGTGTGGGATGTTCTCGACGGTTATCGGCGCTTCCTGGAGGTTCTCGGAGTTGCATTAGCATCACAAATATCAGCAATCTACAGACTCACCAGCATCAACACGAATGTGCCATACATGTCATTCGCGTCCTCACCAATATCCCCATCAGCGTCATCGACCATGGCATCGTCATTGTCAGCCTCGTCAGCATCGCCACCAGCATCATCATAATCATCATGATCATCGTACGAAGCATATCGCCCTGATGATCAGAAGCAGCTTCATCATGATAATCCGCATCCTCATCATCATTCTCCTCATCACAATCATCATCACCATCACCATCACCATCATCATCATCGCCACCATCACAATCATCGTCAGTAGCGTCGTCATCGTCATCCTCATCATCATCATCATCATCATCATCATCATCATCATCATCATCATCATCATCATCATCATCATCATCGGCATCATCAGCATCAGCATCATCATCATCATCATCATCATCATCATCATCATCAGCATCGTCATCGTCCTCATCAGCATCATCAGCATCATCATCACCATCACCATCACAGTCAACAGCATCATCAGCAGCAGCATCATCATAATCAAGAACACCATCATCATCAGCATATATCATGACGATCATAAGCAACATCAGCATCCAATCATCATCCTCAGCAACAGCGTCATCATAATCATCATCATCACCATCATCAGCAGCAGCAACATCATCATCAGCATCACTACCATCACCATCACAATCACCATCATCGTCAACATAATCATCATCAGTATCAAGATCACCATCATCATCAGCATAAATAATCACGATCCTAAGTATCATCATCATCATCATCAGCATCATCATCATCATCATCATCATTCAAAGTATCGACATCATCATCAGCAGCAGCGTCATCATCATCATCATCATCATCATCATCATCATCAGTATAAGCATCATCATCAATCACACCAACAGCATCATCACCATCATCACCATCACCATTCATAACATTATCATCATCAGCATCATCATCAGCATCATCATCATAATCAGCACAAACGTCATCACCATCACCATCACCAACATCGTCATCATCAGCAGTACCAGCAGAGGCATCATCAGAATCAACACCATCATCATAATCAAGATCATCATCACCAGAATTATCAGCATCAACAGCAGCAGCATCATCGGCATCATCATCATGATCATCAACATCAACAGCATCATCAGCATCATCAGCATCATCAGCATCATCAGCATTGACATCATCATATTAAACATCAACATCATCATACTCCTCACCATCATCAGCAGCAGCATCATGCTCATCATCATCATCATCATCATCATCATCATCACCAGTAGCATCATCATAATCATCAGCAGCAGCATCATTATCATCATCAGCATCATCATCAGCAGCAGCACCATCATCGCCGACATCGCCAACGTCATCATATAAGAACCATACTCAGAATAATCACCATCTTCGTCATGAACATATGTGTGAATATCTCCATAGCGTTTTCGTAGCCCGAGCGAGCCAGTGAATGCGCAGACGGACTCTCAGGCACTCGCGGGCGGCCCATAGGTGTCTTACCTTTCAATTGCATTCGGGCGTCAACTTCGGGGAGATGGCAAGAAGGATGCCGAAGCAGGAACACCATCTCTGACGTGTTCGACACGCTTATCCTACGGTATGGGCACGACTATTAGCTCTCACGTTCCCTTTATCAGGCCTGTTCGGCCTGTGGCCATCCGTGTCGGCCGATGGGTTGGTGTGGCCAGCTCCTACGCGGACCAACGGGTGGACGTCCTCGCGGGTAAAGCCGTGGGTCTCTGCTCTCCGCCACCCTGGTGCAGGGCGTTTGATGAGTACCAGTAACAGAAGAACAACTAAGTAAGCATGCACTTTGGGAGCTCCGCGCGGGTTTCTTGGATCTGCGCTGGAGTCCCCTGGCAGCGCCTCCGGCGCCGCCCCTGGCGCGCTCCGCACGCCAGGGTGGGGGTATCAGCGCAGATTCGTGAAATCCGCACGGAGCTCCGAATGCTTATGACTATGCATTTGTTCTTCTTCGAACCAAGCGTGGGCGGTGGATCGGACCCTTCATCACGATGTTCTCTGAGCCTTCAGCAGGCGGCTGTGGAGGTTCTCCGGGACTGGGCGCCCGCAGGGACCCGCGGCTGCAGCAGGGACCCTGGCCATGCCGATGTCCTGATCGCCACCCACGTCTGCATGGCAGTGAGCAGGCTTCGGCTTGTCCGACGGGCGTTCCCTGAGCAACGCTGGGCTCGCAGTGCAGTGTCTGCAGGGCGCTCCGGGCTCAGGCTGGGGTGGGCAGCGAGCAGTCGGACCCCACTTTGCTGCTGCTTGTGCTGGGAACGGCCCAAAGACCGATGCCTTCGACTAGCCGCCTGTACGTTCTGCTTGGCGACTCGGGCTATCACGTGGGGAAGGCGGTCCAGCCGCGGCAGCATGTACCAGGCCTTCCTGCGAGGTGCGTGGAGCAAACGATTGGCCCGTTGCTCCCTCGCTCGAAAGACGAGGGCTCATGCCGTAAATGAAGGTGCTGCGCAGGTGCGCATGTGCCTGGACATGCCTGTCCATGGAGAGAAGCTCCGCTGGGCTCTGAAAGATAGCAATAGATCATGACTGCAACGTCGAGTCCAGGTTGCACACCATCACTTGCTGGCATTGCCAGAGTATCTGCCGTTGCCTCTTTGGTAGTTGTGGGATCAGGTCTTGTGCAAGATTACTAGTTGTAGGCTTTCTTGGACGACCATTCGCAGGCAGCGCGCTTTCAAAGTCGTGGGCGAACTCTTAAGATGTCGTACACGCAGTCGCAGCTGCGGGCCAGTATCTGTAGCACGATTATCTCCTGCAGTTCGTGCGGCTCGGTACATCAAGGTCATCATTTCTGTTAGGGGGCAGCCAGCGTGTAGAGGCACCCGTCGCCGTGCAGGGAAGCCTCGCGCGGCGCAGCTTCGTGGACGCGACGACGTTCGCAGGCGCCGCGACGCGTCTACTTCGCCGTTGGAGGGATCATGCGCCAGGAAGCTCAGGAAAACCGAATTGCTCATGTGCGACAGCGACGCCTCAGACAGGCGCTCGGGGCCGAGGAGAAGGGGAAACAGCACAGGCGTAAGGATATATTTTTATAGCAAAAAAACACTGGCAACGGTCGAGGCCCAAATGGTGGGCCCCGGAACCAATAACGGTGCCCCCCCCCAACCGTAAGATCACTACCGTCACCCAAGGGGGGGGTTGGACGGTGTAGCGACCGTTACGCGCCAGAAAATGGAAAAACGAATTCCCAGGAGGAGCCCGTGATCAAGGCAATCGCGCCCGAGCTCGAACTCGACAGGTCGACAGCAACCTAGAATGGAACACCGACGCGGCAACGGCTCCATAACCGACCCGAAAAAAAACCGACCGAACGCAACCGACTGCGACGCAACCGAACCGACCGAACCGTGCACACCCTTTGGACGCCCGAGTTATCCGGGGTAACTCGGGTCGGGGTAACTCGGGTTCGGATTCCCGAAAAACGAACCCGAGTTATCCCTGACCCGAGTTATCCCTGATGATTCGGGGCTCTGACTTGCGGTCCCTTCGGCCTCGGGGCGCTCGGCGGGCCAGGCCACGGGCGACGGCCTCGCCCCCTTGCGGCTGGCCCACCGCAAGACCTGCCCTCGTGGCTCGCCTGCCCCGCCCGCCGCGGAACAGCCGCTCTGGCAGGCCCAGGCTCCAACGCCGCGTCCGCTCCTCCTCCCTCCTCCTCCCTCCTTTTCCTCCTCCTCCTCCTCCTCCTCCTCATCCTCCTCCTCCTCCTCCTCCTCCCCCTCCTCCTCCTCCTCCCCCTCCTCCTCCTCCTCCTCCTCCTCCTCCTCCTCCTCCTCCTCCTGCTCCATTCCTTAGGGCAATTTTTTAGGCCGCGTGCGCAAGATGATCAGACGCTGGTCGAACAATGGCGGGGCGCGCCGGAGCACAGCGAGTCACGAGAGAGAGGGAACGCGCGAGGCGAAGGACGGCCCGAGAAGCCACGAGGGCGAGAGAGCCACAGTCAGGCCATGCAAGCCTTCGTGTGCGTACCGAGGTGCCAGCCTGGGGAAGCAGAAAGGTGCCAGTGTCGCTGCTCCCCTGGAGGAGGAGGAGGAGGAGGAGGAGGAGGAGGAGGAGGAGGAGGAGGAGGAGGAGCAGGAGGAGCAGGAAGAGGAGGAGGAGAAGGATCAGGAAGAGGAGGAACCTCTCCTGGGACGTTTTCTGGCCAGGATCTCGAAGCGAATCTGGCCGTGGCGACGACGACGGCGGGGGGCAGCGGCATCGGTGCCTCTTCCTTCCCTCACGGTTGGCGCAACTCCACAAGAGGATCGTGGCCGCGGTTCAGAAGGACGGTGGCCTGGACGACCTGTGTCCACCCGATCAGATGCCTCTCTGATGGGGTTGGGGTAGATGGGGTCAGAGGATCTCGCCACATCGCCAATGGGCGACGTCGACGATGCAGCGACGCCGTCGGCGTAGAGCTAGGTGTGCATGTGTGATGGTGATGTTGTTGGACTTGTTGTTGGTAGTCTCTCTGAGCTGCCACTATGGGCCACTTGGTGGGCTGTTGGTTGTGAAGGGTTTCTTCAAATGGTGTTGGACGTCGGGGTCGTTCGGTTGGGTAGGCCCTTGGCGCGCGCGAGTCTGTCGTTGTTTTCGCCGTCGTGTTCGGGGCGTCGCGCTGTCTAGTGCCAGTCACTAGTCAAAGGAACGCGGCGCGGTTGTCGGATCCGAAACGGGGGC